CAACTGGTCATGCTCAGTTTTAAGTTAATCAAGCGGCTGCTATTGTCCAGTACAAGATAAGTGGGTGCTATTTTTTCCGTCTCGTATATATTTGACTTGCAGTGTTTAGTATTATCAAATTAACACATAAAGAATGTATATTTAAATTTTGCTATCTTGTAGACCTTGGACTTGGTCCATCTTGCTTAATCACTTGGGACACGTTATTGTTCTACTCATGAGGGGTCATCACAGTCCTGAAGAAGCAGGTGTTCCTACAAAACGCGTAGACTGCTTTGATGTCTTTTGCACATGCTAATTGACATTACTAATTATTTCTACTACCAAAAAAGGATGGTTATATAAAATATAGACTATATTGTTTATGCTAATTGATTTAATTTTTGGTGTTCATTATACAATATGTACAGATTTTAATGGCTCACTAATATATATTATAAATTGTTCTACATATTTCATTTTTTGTTTATTGCATATAGTTATATGTGCTGACACTGAAATAGCTTAAACCTCCATGTATGAACTATATTGAATTGAATGGAATATAAATTAAAAATAAAATCCAGATTTAGTAGCTTTTGCAAATACTTATGGCGATGTCAGATTTTAAAACCTGTAACATTTTAAAACTGAAAAGTGACAAATTAAATCCTTACCATGGTATAGCTTTACCTCCGCTATCTGCACTGGTGGTTTTCTTATATACCTTGGTAGTATTACTTTTTGATGTGTATTCCTTATGATCTATTGTGAGGTTTCATCTTTTTTTTTATTGGCTTTTTTTTATACATATTTTAGACATAAGAGCTGTGCAGTCATTATCTGATAATTCTCTTTTTGAAATGTATTTAATAATAGCTTTACCTCTTTAATGGTAGGTAGAGTAATCTACTTCTTAAAGTGTGTGTTAATGGGGATAGAAATCCCTGTCCAACTCTCCCATGGACTGGTAGTATAATTTACTATTTTTTTGGAGGCTAAAAATCAAGGTATAAAAAAATATAGCACAACTTGCCTGACTCTCAGTGTTGCTACATGCTGCAGTTTTTAATTCAGTAAAGTATACAATTATGAATTTAAAACATAGAGAAGCAGCACATATATAGCACTACATTTACATGCCCAAATAGGGAAATAGCAAAGTAAAAATAAATAGGAAAATTAAGAAATACCAGAGCAAAAATAAACAGTGATAAAACAGAATTTCAATTTCCTTTTGAAAGGTTACTACAGTGAAAGCATAATATTGTGTCCAGAATGATTTCTCACAGCAGAATTCATTAATAGTTCATAGATGGATTGTTTCCCATGTAACGTTATTCTGCTCTTAAGAGGGGAATTTTTTTCTTCTGTTACATAGCTGGGAAATGACAGTAATATTAGCATTCCCTGTAGAGATGGTCCACTGGCACATTCCACATACAGCATTCCTATCAGGGAATCTTACAACAGCCACATAAAGGAAGGAAGAGTCTAAAGGAAAAAAACAGCACATCCATCAACTAGGGTCTTGGGAAAATGTTACTTTGGATGTCTGCTATGCATCAGTTTTCACAGGAAATAAAAAGAGAGCTCATATATGCCAAGGTGGTGACCAAATCTTACTTTTTGTTATCTAAGCCTGTACCAAACCCATCCTGCACTAGGAGTTGTGAACTGAGAAACTGATCTAAATAACTAGTACACGGGGAGTTGTCACCATTTGTATAGAGCAGACGAAGCTCTGTGCTGCCTATCTGATAAACACCTTTGCTGCGTACAACTGGTAAGTAATGGTCATCCACTGGTATATTGCAATTTAGAATAGAAACTAACAAACTTCTTGGGCGCTGGTAACCAAAAATGAGGTCTTGTAGCTTGCGAAGGCTATAACCACAGCTGCTCAATAAACCATAGGAGACATTTGTCAATAGAACAGTAGCTGATACTGAGCACTACTGGTATAGTGCCAAATTAATAGTGACCAGTAAATTATTAACAAATTAGCAAGGATGATGACAAAGTTATCCAGAGTAAAAAAAGGAAGGATTTTATTATCCACTTGAAAGGAATTAAAACCATTGTTCATAGTCATATGTCCAATGTAAACAAAGGAAATAGTGGGTGGTATAGCCCAAATGTGTGAATGTGGTCAATAAAATTGGCTTACTGCTGAGGAAACAGGTACATCCGGACCAGGGTGCAGGAGGTGGTGGAGAGGAATCCTGTGGGCTGCTCTGCTGGAAGATAGGTCGCCTTTGACGCTGACTTTGACAAAGCATGTATCTGTACAAAACGCGTAGTCATAGCAACCAGATATTGTTGTGGTCCAACCCAGGCACTTTGGCTTCTCTGTCCATCCATCAGTGTCCATCTGCTGGTTTCTGTGCTTCACTGATGTCACTTTCGGCACGCGCCGATGTTATTTCCAGTGCGTGAGTTCGGGGACATCCAAAAGCACCAGCCTGTTCTGTGAGTGGTACCTTCTCACAGTTGGCGACCTATCTTCCAGCAGAGCAGCCCACAGGATTCCTTCTGCATCCTGGTCTGGATGTACCTGTTTCCTCAGCAGTAAGCCAATTTTATTGACCACATTCACACATTTGGGCTATACCATCCACTTTTTCCTTCGTTTACATTAGACATATGACTATGAACAATGGTTTTAATTCCTTTCAAGTGGATAATAAAATCCTTCTTTTTTACTCTGGATAACATTGTTATCATCCTTGCTAATTTTTAATACTTTACTGGTCACTAGTCATTGGGCTGTATACCATTAGTGCTCAGTATCAGCTACTGTTCAATTTCGAATAGAATTATAGGCAAAACTTTTTATTTTTTTTTATTTTGGAAGGAGTAACGGAGGTTTATAACCTTTGTCAGTTTTTTTTCCATCTGTATGCCATTGGGGAGATTTAACTTCACTTCCTGCCCTATAGCCAAAACAGGAAAGATGAAATCCCTGCAAATTAAGGGGATCCTTAGGGCCCTTATGGGTTTCCAGAACTAATGTCCTCATTAGAACTAATGTCCTCATTCCACTCTTACTGTTCTGGAGACAACCCAAAAATTGGGATCTTCTTTTACTTTCAATGATGACAGTAAACAGGACAAATAGAGAGGGTGAATCTCCCTAAAAGGAGCACAGATAGCATTAAAAACTGACAGGTGTTCTAATTCCTCTCTTCTCTGTCCAAAGCTGAAAAAAGTTTTGCCTTTAGTTATTCTTTACCTAGACAAAGAATTAAGTTTTCCACTCTCAAAGGACATTGCAGAAGCTGATCCTTACCTCATGAACAAAATTTAGCATCTAGAGCATGAATATGCTAGTATTCTAATCAGATGACTATCTTACAGTATATGTTTACTCAGCTAGGCCTTAACATTGTTTTTATCACTTATACAGTTAGTTGATTAGATATTTATGTGCATGTATAACCCACTTTCTATATTTGTTGAAAGACCAAAGACTGGGAAGGGTATAATAAAAAAGCAAACTAAACAAAGAGAACCCAGCTCAGTGTCCCTTGTGCTCTTCACAATCTTGACATGAAACTGGCTATTTTTGTTTAGCTTGCTGGAATTGGCACTGGCACACATTTGTATGTCTTCAGCTACCATTTTGCAGATCATAGATGCAACACCAGGATCCTGCAGACTCTCAAAAAGCTGTTTGCCCCTACCTCCCGTACAGGTAGACAGTTACTGAATGGCAGGAAGAGTCAATGAACTACAAGAGCGCTCAATGGCGAGTAGGCAGGTGCCTACAAGTAGACTGCTGTTTGCTAGAGAGTATGAGTTGCCAGGATAGGGAAGGGTTAAGCTTTGGGTCTACTGGTTTCCAGGGCTCTTTGGGTTCTGCCCTCCTCCGTGGTCTACATATAAACAGGTGGAGGGCTGGACTCAGAGAGCCACCAGCAGGACCGCATGGGAAGCAAGAGGGTTCAAACACTAAAAAGCATGTAGTAGCCATATTCACCTTTGACCCTCAAGGGACTTGCCACTGAATGGACTTTACCAGTCTTGGACTTGCACCTGTACAGGTATGCCTGGGCAGCCACAAATGAGCTAGTTAAGAGGACTGAGCTTGCACTTTATTCTGTACTATTGTGGAAATTATTCAGTAAAGATGTGAAAATGTTCTTGAGCCTGATCTGATGTTACTCAAGGGGTGCATGGTTGAACATGGTGTTTCAAAAGAACGAGGACCTCTAAAGCACACATTAGGTACAAGAGGCACAGTGATGAGCTGGAGTGCAGAGCAGGAGTGATCCCTTAGAGTGCCCAATGCAGGAGTTCCCCTTAGAGTGCCTATATATATCAGGCTTCCCCCTTAGAATGTGTGCCCTGTGTGCTGCTGCTTGCTTCACCTGCTATCTCTGTGCATTCCACTTCTTAGTCAAGGTCAGAGCACAGGGGTCAGCAGGGCAGTGTACAGGGGTCAGCACAAGAGAGAAATAGGGGTCACTGGCATTTGGGGGGTGCAACTGAAATCTGGGGGGGGCACAGCCCAACCCAGCACCCCCCTTAGATCCTGCCATGTGCTTAATGGTAGATGCAGTGCTGGAGCTAAGAGCAGGGGTCACTGAATAAGGCTACATTCCCACAGGAAACTACTGATGGTGTGAATGAAAGCACCTGTAAGTGGCTATCCACGGCTGTCTGCTCAGCCAATGATTACTTATGGAGCATGACCATGTCCTGTATCATGTCTGCAGTCTCTGACCATCTCCTGTATCACGTCTGCAGTCTCTGACCATATCCTGTATCATGTCAGCAGTCTATGACCATCTGTATCATGTCAACAGTCTATGACCATCTCCTCTATCGTGTCGGCAGTCTATGACCATCTCCTGTATCATGTCTGCAGTCTCTGACCATCTCCTGGATCATGTCGGCTGTCTATGACCATCTCCTGCATCATACATGCAGTCTCTGACCATCTGCTGCATTATGTCTGTAGTCTCTGACTGTCTCGTGTAGTATGCCTGCAGTCTCTGACCGTCTTCTGTAGTATGTCTGCATTCTCTGACCGTCTCCTGTAGAATGTTTGCAGTCTCTGACCGTCTCCTGTAGTATGTCTGCAGTCTCTGACCATCTCCTGTATTATGTCTGCAATCTCTGAACATCTCATGTATTATGTCTGCACTCTCTGACCATCTCTTTTAGTATGTGTGCAATCCCTGACCATCTCTTTTAGTATGTGTGCAATCCCTGACCATCTCTTTTAGTATGTGTGCAATCCCTGACCATCTCCTGTAGTGTGTCTGAAGTCTCTGACCATCTCATGTAGTGTGTCTGCAGTCTCTGACCATCTCCTGTAGTGTGTCTGAAGTCTCTGACCATCTCCTGTAGTGTGTCTGCAGTCTCTGATCATCTCCTGTAGTATGTCTGCAATTCCTCAACATCTCAGCAGTTGACCATCACTGGTATGAAGTAAAAGAAAAACAGAGACCCCCATCATATCCGGCATCTTCCCCCTCAGACACGAAAAGACCCCATTCATTTTGAAGTAGGTAGAAAGTGGCTGGCTGTGTCAAATTGAAACATGGCACTTAGTATTAGATAGTTACACAAACAAACACTCAGGGTCTGTTCATTGGTCTCCATTAGTGACATATTTAACATAGGGAATTATTTACACTGCCTTGATGTTTGCTGAAATTGTTTAAGCTATAAAGAAAAGCTTTTGAGAGTTTTCCTCTCTTTCTCAGGTCTGAAGCAATATCTGAGGAATAAAGGAAAACTCTTGAAAGCTTGTCTTTTACATGTTAGGTTAATACATTCACCTCCCCCACACTGACAATTTGGCTGTCCAAATATGCCCCCTGTGCTCCTTCATCCAGAGTGAAGGCACTCTAATACAGGTGGTGTGTTACTGGCAGGATCACCAAGCGAAAACAGAAGGGAAAAACCCCCAAAAAAGAAAATGAGTACAGTCACCACATCTAATGATTACTAAGCTGCAATATACACTATATTGTCAAAAGTATTGGGACACCCCTCCAAATCATTGGATTCAGGTGTTCCAATCACCTCCATGGCCACAGGTGTTTAAATTCAAACACCTAGGCATGCAGACTGCAAATACAAGTGTGACGAACCGTCCCTTTGTGATAACATTTTGCCCTTTCTGTTTCAGTTTTCTCCCCTTGGTAAAGCTGTATATGTTAGCAGCATGGGCGGACTGACAACTCATGGGGCCCCCGGGCAATAGGGGATCATGGGGCCCCTGTGTCCTTGCCCAAACTCAAAAAAGCCTATGAAAAAGGTATCAGGGGCATCTCATGGGGCCCCCTACTGACCCGGGCCCTGGGGCAGTGTCCGAGTTTCCAAATGGTCAGTCCGCCCCTGGTTAGCAGCTGTTATGTAGACAGGCATTCTACACTGTTTGTTTAGGGAAATGTGACATTGTAGTCTTTCACTTCTATAGAGTTCATACTGTATTGTTGGTTGTAGGGTTTTGTTGTGAGTGGGGAAAACCAGGTGCCAGGCTGTCTGTTGGGGTGAAGCTGTATATACTGAGCTGTGTTTAATAAAGATTGATTAATTTCACCCTACATGAAGTTCCAACTTGTGGTTTGGGATATCAGGGAAGGATTGGTTTTGAGCTCTAATACCTGCCTTGACAGAGCACTGGAAGACTTGCCAGAAAAGGGAACCATTGGCTGAGATGCATCGCTCCGCACGAGGAAGCCCAGGCGGAACGGTTCCGCCACAACAAGCATTTGTGAAAGAATGGGGCGCTCTCAGGAGCTCAGTGAATTTAAGCGTGGTACTGTGATAGGTTGTCACCTGTCCATCAGTGAAATTTCCTTGCTACTAAATATTCCACTGTCAACTGTTAGTGGTAATATAACAAAGTGGAAGCAACTGGGAACAACAGCAACTCAGCCACCAAGTGGTAGGTCACGTAAAATGACAGAGTGGGGTCTGCGCATGCTGAAAAGCACAGTGCACAGAAGTCGCCAAATGTCTGCAGAGTCAATAGCTAAAGACCTCCAAATGTCCTGTGGCCTTCAGATTAGCAGAACAACAGTGCGTAGAGAGCTTCATTAAATGGGTTTCCATGGCCAAGCAGCTACATCCAAGCCTTACATCACCAAGTGCAACGCAAAGTGTCGGATGCAGTGGTGTAAAGCACAAAGCCACTGACCTCTAGAGCAGTGGAGATGTGTTCTCTGGCGTGACGAATCACACTTCTCTGTCTGGCAATCCGATGGACGTGTCTGGGTTTGGCAGTTGCCAGGAGAACGGTACTTGCCTGATGTCATTGTGCCAAGTGTAAAGTTTGGTGGAGGGGGGATTATGGTGTGGGGTTGTTTTTCAGGGGTTTGGCTTGTCCCCTTAGTTCCAGTGAAGGAACTCTTAAGGTGTCAGCATACCAAGACATTGTGGACAATTTCATACTCCCAACTTTGTGGGAACAGTTTGGGGATGGCCCATTCCTGTTCCAACATTACTGCACACCAGTGCACAAAGCAAGGTCCATAAGGACATGGATGAGCGAGTTTGGGGTGCAGGAACTTGACTGGCCTGCACAGAGTCCTGACCTCAACCCGATAGAACACGTTTGGGATGAATTAGAGCGGAGACTGTGAGCCAGGCCTTCTCATCTGACATCAGTGCCTGACCTCACAAATGCACTTCTGGAAGAATGGTCAAACATTCCCATAGACACACTCCTAAACTTTGTGGACAGCCTTCCCAGAAGAGTTGAAGCTGTTATAGCTGTAAAGGGTGGGCCAACTCAATATTGAACCCTATGGAGTTAGACTGGGATGCCAATAAAGTTCACGTGCGAGTAAAGGCAGTGTCCCAATACTTTTGGCAATATAGTGTATTTAGGGTTGCCACCTCATCCCTTTAAAACCAAACACAATAATTAAACAGGTTCTAAGGCTAATGTAATGCAGATAAGGCTCTAAATGAGTTTAATTAACATCTTAATCAGTCACAGAACCTGTGTAAATAATGTGTTCGGTTTTAAACGAATGAGGTGGCATCCCTAAGCAGGGGCGGACTGACAACTCATGGGGCATGGGGCCCCCGGGCAATAGGGGATCATGGGGCCCCTGTGTCCTTGCCCAAACTCAAAAAAGCCTATGAAAATGGTACCAGGCAGGGGAAGATGACAACTTATGGGGCCCCCGGGCAATAGGGGATCATGGGGCCCCTGTGTCATTGCCCAAACTCAAAAAAGCCTATGAAAAAGGTACCAGGGACATCTCATGGGGCCCCCTACTGACCCCGGGCCCTCGGGCAGTGCCCGAGTTTCCAAATGGTCAGTCCGCCCCTGTCCCTAAGTGTATCACATTTCTGGGTTTGGGTTTGATACCACTTTATGGAGCCTAGTGAACGAGTACCATGTGTGGTGTGTATATCGGTGTTATGTGCAGTTTGTCCACTAGGTGTCAGTCTGCGCTCAGCAGAGGCACACCTCCCAAAGCAAGGCAGACGAATGTGGATTCCAGCATCGTAGAGGATCTGAAAATGTCTGCGTACAGCTTGGACTATAGAACCACTGGCCGTGCATCCTGTTTGTTCTGCCTCCTGGGGTGCGGACTGCTGTCCTATGTTGGAGCATATGTGATTGTCAATTCAGTGTCCTGGTCAGTCACCAATGAAGTGGAGGAGGAACTGGACAGCTCCTCCACAGAAGATGCTCTTCCTTCTCTGCTGGAAGATACAATCAGCATATGGAAGCAGAGCTACCCATCCTCTGCCTACAAAGAGGACAGGGAGATGAAGGCCAGGCCAGGGCCTGACAACACTGAGCAGATCTCCTCACCCTCCAGAATGTTCTCCTACAAGAGGGAGAGCAGTGCAGGCACTGAGAGCCCTCCTTCTCCTGCATCTCTCTTCCAGACCAAGCTGGCCACCAATGCCCGAACACTGGTCCACAAGAGCAAATGGGGGGTCCTAGCTACCATTTCATCCCAGGAGATGGTGAGTGCCTTCCTCTGCACCATGTGTCTATGTTATGTACTGTAAGAGCAGCTCCTGTCCCACTCACCACATTGTCTAACCAGGATCATGTATACAGAAACTGCAGCGGCCTTGCATGGCAACCAAACAGATTCTAGCTTTCATTTTCAAAGCTAACCTGAGCGAGCTGAAGCTAGAAGCTGATTGGTTGCCTTGCACAGCTGCTCCAGTTTTAATAAACTCCTCTCGTAGAATCCTATTGATGCTGCATCTCCAGATGATCACACTTTGGATTCCATTCATAATGTTACTTGGATTGTGTCCTTTCCTCATTTTGGGGCTGGTATCCTAAACATCAGCTTAAAGTGACTGTACACACATTTTTTCTTTACAAACATAATTTTAAATACATTGTTTTAATAACAAACATGCCATACTTACTTGTTCTGTGCAATGGTTTTGCACAGAGCCACCCTCATCCTTCTTTCCTGGGGTCCCTCGCTGGGGATCTTGGCTCCTTCCCTCTTCCAAGTGCCCCCACCACTTGCTAAGGGGGCATCAGTGTTGCCAACCCCCCTAAAGTGAAATTTACTGACAGGACACTCAACATTTACTGACAGCACCAATATTTTTTTATTGCCAAGAATCATGAAATTTACTGGCAGAGCCACATTTTTTACTGACACTTCAAAAAAAGTACATAAATGGCCATTTTGTGCAAAACAGTGCAAATATTAATATTTAATCTACACACATATTGCTAGTGCAATTAGCAATGTGTTTGAATTATAACAAGAGTCAAAAAACCATATTTCTCCATTTACAAGAAGGTAAGGTTAACATAGCCCAGCATTCCCCCTTACATCAGAGTCTGCAAGGTTCCCCTTTACAGTACAAGGGGTCCAATGATGTAAAGGGGAACACTGTGAACCAAAGGGGATTGCTGCAGGCTTTGGTGTAAAGGGGAACTTTGATATAAGGTGGTCTCTGGTCACCAGAGCTCCTCCTTACATCAGAGTTCACAGTACCCCCCCACATCAGATGTTCCCACTTACATCAGGGTTTGCAGCTTTGCCCTTTACATCAGAGTTCCCACTTACATCAGGGTCTGCAGCTTTGCCCTTTACATCAGAGTTCCCACTTACACCAGGGTCTGCAGCTTTGCCCTTTACATCAGAGTTCCTATTTACATCAGGGTCTCCAGAGTCCCCCTTTGCACTGTAAGGGGGAATTTTGCAGACTATGATGTAAATGGGAACTCTGAAGACACTGATTTAAGGGGGACCACTGGGAACTCTGATGTGGGGGGGGGTGGGGGGGGGGCTCTGGGGACCACAGACCATCTTCCACAGAGTGAATACATTAAGGTAAGGGGGGGTTACTGGTATAAGGGGGAACCTTTATATCAGTGCCCCCCCCTTATGTTACTATATTCACTTCCCTGTTACGTCAGTGACACCCCCTCGGACTAGCCTGGCAGTGCTGTCACTGACTTCCTCTCAAATACGCTGCGCAGGGCTCATTCAGATGGTCCTCTCTGGGCTCCAGCTTGGCGGCTCTGGTTTCATCCTGTATTCTCCTCCCCACAGTCCACACATGTCTGACTTCTCCTGTGACCCCCGTTCCACTGGCGCTCCTGTTCTTGACTTCTCTCCAGGCTCCCCCTCAGATACTGCACAGACATGGTACAAGAGATGGTCAGAAACTGTGGAGATGATACAAGAGATGATCAGAGACTGCAGACATGATACATGAGATGGTCAGAGACTGCGGACAGGGTAAAAGAGATGGTCAGAGATTGCGGACAGGATACAAGAGATGGTCAGAGATTGCGGACAGGATACAAGAGATGGTCATAGACTGCAGACATGATACAAGAGATGGTCAGAGACTGCAGACATGATACAAGAGATGGTCAGAGACTGCAGACATGATGCAAGAGGTGGACAGAGTGGGCATGACACAAGTGATGGGCAGAGACTGCGGACATGATACAAGTGATGGACAGAGATTATGGACAGGCAGTGTCCTCCCCTTCCTCCTCACCCACACTGCTCCTCTTCTCGGTCGGTTACTGTCCACCGGTCCAGGCAGCGGTAGAATTCTGGCATATCAGATGGGCGGCCAGTGGTGTGCTGAACTTAGTCAAAGTTCCATCAGGCCCAGCTGTATGGTCCTCCTCCTGCATCTTCACTCCGCCTCCTCGAGTCCTCAGTCAATTGTAAATGGTACCAAAATCACTGCGCTTGCATGCCTGGCCCACACCCTCCCTCCCCAGGTTCCAAGTATATCCGAGCACAAGCCCACGGCCAAATTTTTTACAGGTGGCCGCTGTTCATAATGGACATTTACAGACAGTCTGTAAATTGGTTGAAATTTACAAATTTCCGGACGATTGGCAACTCTGGAGAGCATTTATGCGGGCTTGATCCTGAACTGGGCCAATGTGTGCCTATAGACACAAACAGCTCAGCTCAACCCCACCCTCTGCTCCCTCTTCAGAGGCTATGATTGACAGCAGCAAGAGCCAAGGGCTCCCACTGCTGCCTCCATGTCCAGTGGGGAGAGAGAGATACAATGCTGGATTTAGATCAGGCTTAGGTAAGTATCAGAAACTCCAAAATCAAAAATGTGATAAATTGCAGTTTACCAACCCTAGAGGTGCTGGCTGCATTAGTATTTTTTATGGGCTTCTTTTCCTTTATTTTCACCTGGTGATCTGATCAGTAACACACCTACTCTATAAGGGGCTCTCTTTATCTAGATAAAGGAGCAATGACCCTTGGACAGCAGCACTGCCAATCAGTAGAGGTAGTAGTGTCAGATGGACTACTGGATTTAGATGGACTTTATATTAGTTACTAACAATTTAAAGCCACTACAGTTTTTAAACAGGTACAGCAATTTGTTTTTTTTAAAGAAAATTCACAAAATCCCCTCCAGGTCCTCAAAGATAAACCGACTCCATGAATAATGGACTTTAATATTTACAAAGTGATTAGGGAGTCTCTAGCAAACAATGAAAAAAATATAAATGAAAATAGCGCCAAAAGTGTTCACATGTGATCAATTAACATAAGCTGCTAAACCTTACCCTTAAATAAAGGTTACAATCATAAAACAAAAAAAGTTAGCTCTATCAAATTAAATATCCAAATCAAACAGTGATAAATAAAACAGTGAAAAAATGTATTTAAATAACCGAAAAAAATGTCTTTTAAGAATTTTCTCTTTCTTCACTGTTGATGGAAAGAGAAAATTCTTAAAAGACATTTTTTTTTGGTTATTTAAATTAATTTTTTCACCGTTTTATCTAGCAAACAATACATGAAAGAACAAAAAATAAAAACTAATTATGGACTCCACCAAATCTGAACTGGGTCCCGTTAAATGATCACATGAATTTACACCAATGCATCATACCAATCCACTTTATTGTACAAAAAACACATAGACATCACAATTTAAAACCAAATACATAAAACAAATCCCCATATTGCTCCATCTAAATTAAGGTATATTTCAAATCACTGTGTCATACAGGGGTTAGACAAAAAATGGAAACACTACATGATTACAGGTGTGAAAGTGACAACGTTGCGCGTTGAAATACAATGAAAAAATGAGCGCTCTCTAGTAAGCAGCTATAGCACTCAAGGCAACCAATATAAAACCTTATGAAAACATTAAGAATAAAAGTGCAGTGCTAAGAAAAATTATATGATCATGCGTCCAGTGTGAAAAATTAGCAATAAGTAATCATGAGTAAATAATGACCAATATCTTAAAAAAAAAAAGATAGTCTGTGCAGATATAAATTCTCTGTAAAATATCCAGTGGTGGTGTTCCGAATAGTGTAGTAAGATTACGCACTCACTAGATGCGTAATGTAAGTACGCATTATGTAAACCAGCAGAAGTCTCCTTTAAAGGATCTGGTCTGGGGCAGAGATAATCCTCCCTCTGGGTGGGTAGTGATGTCTGGAGTGCACAGGGAAGTGTAAAGATCCAGCTGACCAGAGGTCCCTTTAAGGGATGGATGGGTGCAGATGCCTGTGTACAGGAACTCCCTTCTCTGGAATCTTTAGATGGCTGGATCAGGCAGGCTCTATGGATAAATAGCAAGTAAGGTATCACCATCTAGCAAGTGGTCATCTTCCAGGGTATGGAAGTCCATCATTCCCCCAGCTCCATCCAGGAGTTCCTCATCACTGCTTGCACTAGTAATACTGTTGTAACTGTTCCGGTAGTAGCTTCTCTGAAACAGCTGCTCAGAATCCATTTAGATGCTTGACCACCTGTCCTGTGTGTACGGAGGCCCTGCCTGCCGCATCCTCCCCTCCAGTGACCGGAGAAGGCCTATCGGGCCGCACAGATGAGTCAGTGTGGGGTCGCAGCAGCTCTGGCGGTCACAGCAATCACCAGGCCTCTGATTTGCCTCTACCTGTCGTAGACTGGTCGCATCTGGCGAGTGCGTAATCTTACTACACTATTCGGAACACCACCACTGGATTTTTTACAGAGAATTTATATCTGCACAGACTATCACCTTTATTTTAAGATATTGGTCATTATTTACTCATGATTACTTATTGCTAATTTTGAACACTGGACGCATGATCATATAATTTTTCTTAGCGCTGCACTTTTATTCTTAATGTTGTGTGTTGAAAGCAGAAGTGATGTAACATTCTTTTGCTTCTGCTGTGTGATGAGACACCTAGCTAACAGATGAGAAGCCTCACTTTCATCATTCACTCAAATTGTTGGTGCCCACTTAGCTGGTGCCTGTTTGCCTGAAGCTGCCAATTTATTTGCGTTGTCACGAGGTACAGTATCAAAGGTTAGGATGGTATATGCAGTTTTCCAGGAAAACGTCTGATAACCATAAGTGCGACATGGTCAACTGATCGAAAGAGACAAAAGGACATTGTGCAAAAGTGACTATAGCGTTCAATCTGGCCCTTTAAGGGGTTTCTGACGCCGGAAGGCAGGGCGGGGTGTAGGGTCACGTGATTGGCT